AGCGGATGATGGTTCTGGTCACACCTGTGATTGGATCTCTCTCGAGACATGTTCGGAATTGTTGGCGATGGTGACGGAGCAATGGCTGCAGTCAGACAACCCACGCAGTCAGACAATATAACACACTTTTTAATCGGGTTTTTTGCCCCTTCTATTTGACACAGTGAATCAACTTGGTATAATAGGATTATTACGTGCGTACATGCCCCGGTGGCAGACATTACAAGCCAGGATGACGACTTTGGGCTGGTCTGGATTCAAACGGCCACGGTTTCGTATTAAACACGTGTTGGAGAGGAGATCCTGCCAATACGACGAGACTATGCTGACCGACAGGACAGGAGGTACCTAAGTAATTTATCAAGTATATTCAATCTATTCGCTGTAGGGCAAGTTGCTTGGGATGAGGGGGTTGGGGATCTTAAATTTCCAATCAACCCATTCTCTTTCGGTATTTGGCATGTTTGCTACCTCCCCGTGCTTGTACTATGTCGCAGGGAATTAGGTGCCTAAGACAGACTAAAGAATTAAACCGTACCTTGGGTACCTGGTGCCTGTAGGTACCTTAGGTAACCTACCTAAGTAGGTAGGTAGGTGGTACCTTGGATAAATGGTAATTATTATGTTGGGCCTCCAATTTTTCCTGGAAAAGGATAATGGTAGAAATCTATTCGTCATAATATATACAAGGCAAGGTGCCCGAGCGGTCTAAGGGGTTCGACTAGAATTACAGGATAACTAAAACATCCTGTGGAAGCTATCGAATATGTTCGCATGCGCAGGTTCAAATCCTGCCCTTGTCGGTTATCTTTTTTTTTCTGGAGTTAGGTAGTTAAAAGGCCCATCACTATGACTCCGTGTGTGGTGGGGATTCATCCTAGTGGCACCGATGGGGCCAATTGCCACAGCAGGGTTTGTCATCGCGATAAGACGATTGATTATCAAGCAACCGAAGATTATCATATCCTCCTCCCCCGCCACTTATCGCTGCCCAAATTCATTTTCAACTGTCTTCCCAGTCACAAAAATACCTGAATTGTGGCCGACAGATCAGAGTGACATATTGATTGCATCCACCTATATAAAACACACCAACTAATGGCCCCGTACCTCGAGGAGCCAACGGCGGCATCCATGGATGCAGACTCCAACCTCGTTGCTCCCGAACCTGGTATAATTCATCCTACGATTCGCGTATAATCCCCAAAGCAGAACTCACTAACAATTGAACAGAGCACTGCCCTGGCCCCGAGTCCGAGCAAGCCGGCAAAGGCGACGCCTGTGCCGGCTGTCCCAATCAATCGATCTGCGCTACTGCACCGAAAGGCCCCGATCCCGACGTCGCAATCATCACCGAACGTCTCTCCCAAATCCGACACAAAATCCTCGTGCTTTCTGGTAAAGGCGGGGTCGGAAAATCCACGTTTTCCTCCCTACTCGCGCACGCTTTCGCTGCGAACCCGGACTCCGCGGTGGGAATCATGGATACAGACCTGTGCGGGCCATCGATCGCGAAGATGATGGGCGTCGAGGCGGAAACAATTCACATCAGCAATGCGGGCTGGAGTCCCGTGTGGGTGACGGATAATCTGGGTGCAATGAGCATTCAATTCATGCTACCTAATCGGGATGACGCGATCATCTGGAGAGGCCCGAAGAAGAACGGTCTCATCAAGCAGTTCCTCAAGGATGTCGACTGGGGCGAGCTGGATTATCTGATTGTCGATACACCCCCGGGAACCTCGGACGAGCACTTGTCGGTCAACTCGCTTCTGAAGGAATCAGGCGTGGATGGTGCCGTCATCGTGACGACCCCCCAGGAGGTTTCTCTGTTAGATGTTCGGAAGGAGATCGACTTCTGTCGCAAGGCGGGGATTCGGATTCTAGGTCTCGTGGAGAACATGAGCGGATTTGTTTGTACTAACTGCGGGCACGAGAGTACGATCTTCCGGGCGACGACCGGTGGGGGGAAGCGTTTGGCCAAGAAGATGGGCATTCCCTTCCTGGGCGCCGTGCCCCTGGACCCAAGAATTGGAATGGCCTGCGATTATGGCGAGAGCTTCGTGGACGGCTTCCCTGATAGTCCAGCGTCGACGGCCATCAAGCAGGTGGTGCGATCGGTTGGTCAATTGGTTGGGGAAGACCCTAAGGCCGTTTTGCCCGATGATATGATGGAGTGAAACCTACAGTTTTATCAACTGTTTTGGGGTTTCTTCCTTCTTTCTCTCTTTCTTTCTTTCTTTATTTTTTTATTTTTTAATTCTAGCGTGATGCATTGGGTCAGCCTGCTTTGCCTTTTGTCTTTTTGGCGTTTATTGGTATGGGAAAGTCTATATGATACCAGACTTTGATTTTATGACTAGAATTGAAATGGATATAAAACTTGCATGATACTAAATAGAGAGTTGTCGATCTTCGCCGTCAACGTTCTCTTGGCGTCTTTCACGGAGACACTCCACAGAAGTTCCATGATGAGACACATCCACTGACTACTAACTGACTCGAATAATAATTCCGTCCACAAGGCTGCGAACCATGCTGGCTGAACACCAGCATCTTGGCCATCATTCGCCACTCTGACTGCTTCAAGTTCAGCGCTGAAACACCGCTTCGGCTCGCTGATTGGACCACCACCGCTCGGCGTTTCACGGCTTCAGGGGCGCATCCATTCGATGGGCGCCTGTCAGTCGCAAATAACAATCGCAAGATGCTGATCTACAGCCGCTCCACCGTGTCAGCCAGATGAGATGTCGTCGTTCGCGGGTCCTTCAGTAATGCCCAGAGCGCCCATAACACCATGGATTGGTCTTCGTCCTGCAGGTGGAGTTCTTGGACTTGGTGCCTGGAGTCGAGGCGGTTTTTCCTTCCTGTCCTGCTGTACAGAGTATGTCTTTGTGGTGTTTTCTTTCTTTTCTTCATTTCTATTTCTAAAAAATCATTCCCCTTCTTTCATTTGGTGTACCACCACCATCCTATCCTTTTCCTTGTCTGGAATGACTGCTGCTCTGTGAGACGGTCCTCTTCTTTCTTTCCTTTCTCCTCTTTCCCTTTTCCTTTCAGCTTTCCAGGCATCCAAGTCAGGACTTGGCCCTGGTCCATTCATTCCCGTCGCAGTTCTTTCAGCGAAAGAATCAAAAAAGAAAAACCACCCTTCGGAATATCCTATATTGTCTCCGGCATCTAGGAAATTAGACAGCGTCGGACGAGCACCATGAAGCTCCCCCGAACTCTCTTTCTAACATTATTCCTGACCCATGGCGTATTCTCCGCGCCAGCATCTGGACAACCTCACCTGAACGGCCGGTCCTTCAGGGTTGAGCGAGTCCGACGCGGGTCCAACAACCTACACGGCCCAACAGCTCTTCGTCGAGCATATACAAAATATGGAATTGTCCCAACAGACTTAGGAATCGACCTGGATGACTTCGAGCCCATCGCCATGCACACAGCCGCCCAACAAGACTTCTCCGAACCTGAACTAGACCAAACCGGTGCCGTGAGCGCAGCCTCAGTCCAGAACGATGCAGCCTTCGTGTCTCCCGTCACAGTCGGCGGACAGAGACTCATTCTGAACTTCGACACTGGCTCGTCCGACTTGTAAGTTTAACCCTCGGACACTGTATCCACGAAGTATGAAACCAGCCGGCTAAAAATATAAAACAACCACCAACAGCTGGGTAATGAACAGTCGGTTACCCGAGCTGGAAACCGCCGGACGCACGATCTTCAACCCATCGAAGTCCAACACATTCCAAGAAATCGAAGGTGCCACGTTCAATATCTCATACGGCGACTCATCTTTCGCCGCCGGCGATGTCGGCTACGACACTGTTGACATCGGCGGCGCTACCGTCAAACGACAAGCCATCGGTCTGCCAACGACCGTCTCGCCCTCGTTCCTGCAAGACACCTACTCCAACGGACTGGTAGGACTTGGATTCTCGAAACTCAACACCGTCCAGCCGAAGAAGCAGAAGACTTTCCTGGACAACATTGCTGCGAGTCTCGACGCGCCGGTCCTGACCGCATCCCTGATCAGCGACGGGGTCGGCGAATACGAATTCGGCATCATCGACCACACCAAGTACGTTGGCGACATTGCGAACGTGTCCATCGACTCCTCGAATGGGTTCTGGGAGTTCAAAACCGCCGGCTTTGCCGTCGGTGGGGGTCCGTTGAAGGAGCTTGATAGCGTTCCGACTGCGATTGCAGACACTGGGACTTCGCTGATGCTCCTCGCCGAGGACGTGGTGGATGCATATTATGAGCAGGTACAGGGCGCGGTGTTCGTCAGTAGCGCCAGTGGCTATATCTACCCGTGTACGGCGGAATTGCCCAGCCTGACTATGGCTGTGGGAGAGAAGCACTATGCGACTGTTCCGGGCGAGTTTATTCATTTCTCGGAAGTGGGGGTAAACAAGACGACAGGTGAAACTGGTAACGTTTCCCCCCCTCTTCCTCCTCTCCCTCCACAAATGTCCATCTCGTTGCTAACCCTGGATAGTTTGTTATGGAGGGATTCAGTCTAACCAGGGCGCGAGAATGCAAATATTCGGAGATGCCTTTCTCAAGGCCTTCTTTGCTGTTTTTGATCTACGCGGTCCGTCGTTGGGACTGGCGTCGCCGACATATTGAAAATAGTTGTTTCTATCTACCCCCCCTTTATATCCGGGCAAGATCGCCGAGTATTTAGGGATGGTCTTAAGATAGAAGACATCCTTTGATATCCATTGTACAGTGTACTTGCCAAATTTTTCAGGTTTGAATTCTGGCACTGGCTCGAAATACGGTACCTACCTATCTAAGTTAATACCACATCGACATTTTTTTAGACGGTCATTTATTTTAGACTTCTTTATCTTTCTACGCCTTTTTTTTTTTTTTGTTATGTTATATTTTATTCAGATTATTTTCTTCAAAGAAGGATCAGGACATAATATTTGTTACCCTCTGATGTGACTTAGAATATAGAAGCAAATATTCCAAACGATAATATACAAGGCAAGGTGCCCGAGCGGTCTAAGGGGTTCGACTAGAACTACAGGAGTTTTCTAATCAAAAACTTCCAGTGGAAGCTATCGAATATGTTCGCATGCGCAGGTTCAAATCCTGCCCTTGTCGGTTAACTTTTTTTTTTGCTGCAGTCCTTAAAAGAAAGCCCACCCAGCCAGCACCCACTACACTACGACTACTGAGACTGTGTGGTTCAAATCATGCCATTGTCGAACATTTTTCATGGGATTTTTTTTTCCGCTGGGGGTGACGGATGGTATCATGACATAAGGCAATCTATATTCATCTGTATACATAGCGATAGCAGAAGCAGTGTAGCAGCTATCCCATACCATACCAGAGGTATATGAATCATCTACACTCTGGTTCTTGGTGGCGCCTGAGAAGGTACAAAGTATAAAATCTTCTAATCTGTATGTAATTCATTCTTCCATCCAGAGCGATTAAAGACCCTATGTGATGGAATTTCCGGCGGGCCTGATATGAAATCTAGGCTCTACGACTATATATCGCCGTTTTATTTTGTTGCTTGATGGTCCGCATTCTGTCATACCAAGATGAGATACTGGACCATGAGTGTGACACCTCTTTCTTCGGGACCCTCACGACAGTGCGGAGGATGGTGACTATACAGGGTAGGAGATTCTAGGAGGTTCTATTGTTGACCACAATATTGGTGCGTGGAAATGGGTATGGATATATGTGTGCCTATGACCTCAGGATGGGCATGGACGGACACTCTGTGAAGCCCAACCTGTCTGGAAGTAGTACTCCCAATAGACAAAATCGATAGCCAATACTGCCATGTTGTATTTGTTCTTGGCCAAAGAAAACATTGAATTCTGGATAGCTAACCACAAGGGTAGAAAGAATGACAGTAGAGAATATAGGAAGCTGTCTGCCTCCTCACCCATATGAATGGTTAACTCGAACGAGGGCGGTTACCTCTTTTTCCTCTGGAGAAATTTGAGGCACTAATCTTTCCGTCGAAGCATTTAGGCCCCGGGGATCCTCATTTCTACTAAGAGAAACCCTGGCCTGGTTCTTCGGCCACGTAGCAATGTGACGTAGAGAACGATATCGCATGTGGCCCATTTCGTGATCCTGATATTTCTGGGCATCCAAAGAGCTGTCAAATAGTAGTTCAACATGCTCCTGATTATGCGAGCCTGGATCCCGTCTCACCCTAACTTTCGCCACCTGCGCGTAAGTCTTGGACCGTTTGATCCCAGCTCCAGCATTTTGCAATATGTCAGGTGCTGGTCTTGAGTTTTGGGACAAAGCAATGAGCTCGCCAACCGAGCTCCAGCACCTTGATGTGCGTCTCCTATGGATGACGTAGATCATATGGGCCATGGCGAGTAAGATGTGAATTAGGAGAATGGGCATGGCTAAATAGCTCGCGAGCGAGCGTTGAAGTGAAAAGCCACTAATGCCCATTTCTGCCTCGATTGTTGTAAACTCATTCGGGCTAATAGTAGGAGCCTCTATGGCGACTTCATTCTTCAGGATTCGGGATTTGAAGTCGGGTAGAGGGTTGTAGCCTGCCACAGACAACAAATTGCCTGACTCGGGATTTTTAAAGACTCGATAGCTTCCTGTTCGGCTTAGACCATCGAGAACAACACTGCAGACTATGGCCTCCACGAGTGAAATCCTGTCCCAAGTTGAATTGTCATTCCCCAGCCAATCTTCTGATATGCGACCACTCCTTTCATGGGCAGATTCTGGATGAGGAGTTACACCTGCATTCAAAAAGATACTTTCAATGGTCGATGGCTGCCATACTCCTGTTCCGGATGCTTTGATGGGAGCTTTAGGGGTCAATAGGTCTAGCCACTCTTCTCCAAATGCTATTCGGCCATTCGTTGAGCTTTCAGACTTGGGGGACCATGTGGGTATACGATCACCAAATAGAATGTTCCACGGGTACCAGCCGGTCCAAAATGTGTACTTATCAGTAAAAACAGTCGCTGGAACCCATCCAGCCTGGACTGTACAGCCCATAACAGCCCTAGAGGCTTCAGATGGCTTTGTACCATCCCATGGGGCTTCAAACAGACCCCCAATGCTAGGAGCACCAAACTGCAGCGGAAGATGGACCCACTGAAACCGTAGATGATCGGTAGGGGTGCTATTAAGGCTGTCTACAGTCAGGGGTAGGTCCTTGGTAAAGAAGTTATATCGGCCGTCGATTGATGGAAATTGCACTGCCTTATCGGATGATCCCAGTCTTTGCGGCTTTGCGCAACGGGTGATACTCATAGCGTTCTTGAATTTGGCAGAGACAACCCGGTCATTAACCTGATTTGATGATAAGTGATTTTGTACTGTTAGAGCTTCCCACCAATCTTCTGCGAGTTTCTGCAATACTACCACCGTGGCTGCGTGTGGTTGCGTCAACGATGTCTTTCCATTTGGCCCTCGTGTGCTGTCTCCAAGAGCGTAAAGAGGGGGGATTAGCGAGGAGGCGCTGGAAATTGGCCAGTAAAAGCGCGAGCCAGATATGTCTTTGGCATAGGAACGAACGTCCTGACTTCGAAAATTGGTGCTTTTCATGGTACCCCAGTGATTCCATAACGAATAGAATCCACCGCCAGGACAAACCCCCAACCGGGTAGAGTTATCCCCGCCACATAACTGTTGAAGTTCGGAAACATCTGACAGATCACTGGGCCAAAATTGATCTTCAGTTCCATTTAAATAAAAGCGTGTACCCCCGGCTTTCCATTCCTGGGACTTGGGGACAAGTAGAACAGCGCTGGAAGGACCAGCAAGGGCGGCTATCCACCCTGAGACCACCACAAGACCTATAAACATGATCTTTCGAGGTTTATTACCGTGGCCTGCTACATATCCCAGCCCGCCGTAGAATTCCCTTTGAAAGAAGAACTCGAAGTGATTGAAGGTAATGCCGGATCCGAGAAGACCCAGCGGAAGGCCATCACCATAAAGCAGTTCATGCCGTACAAATTGTAGAACCACCACTCCCAAACTCGCAACAATCGTAATTTCATGGGCTTTGGCGGCTATCTGAAGAAGGAGAAGGTTGATGGTCTCCGATTTTATGGGATATATCAAGTCTGCTCCCAAATAAGTGCCTTTAAGATTGAGGGTAATGATTGTGATCGATGCTATAGTCGGGATAAGGTGGATCACACAACGTCGGAGTGCTGCCGTTATCGACTCAGTTATAATGGCTTTCTTGGGCTCATCATTCTCAGAGGAGGATATGCTGGCAATGGAGGAGCCATTTTCGCTGCTGGTTTTCTTCTTGAAGATATCCCTGTAAGGTATTTGCATGTTTGTTTGAAGTCATCCGCTACCAGAAAGACGAAGGGCTCAAACGAGAGAATCGGATGCGGTTCTGAAGCGTAAATCCAACCTTGGAGGCTGTGAACAACTAGCTCCAGGAAGGAGGAGGGGTGACCTTTTCAGTTTCCCTCCCAAGTGAACAAGGCTGAAGGATTCAGAGCAGTGCATTTTCAACGAGATCATCTTCTAAAATTAGGTACCCAAGGAAATTGACAAAACATGATCGGCTCGACCAACCAACTTATCCATAGATTTCCATGCAGGGGGTTTCTCAACGCGAACTTGCATCAGGCCGGGGCTAGCTGTAGCTAGCCAGTTGTACCGGTGGTAATCCATATGGGGGTCGGCGCGAAGCATCAAGTCGGAGAGGTATCTTGATAGGGTTTTTCTTATCGGGCCATTTTGAAGGTAAATTTAGAAAAATCTCTCCTAATATTGGAGTGTTTTATGATTTATTTGGATGTAATAACAATAATAAAGAGACCATTTCAATTGAGTTGGAGCGCAAAGTGAGGCCTGATACCTACTCGGGGCTACCTCCTAATTAGGGTCCAGACTACATGCGCGGCTAGAGCTCCATGATGATTGGGCGGGAGGACCTCCTGCGGCAACGATCGCCCCCGTCGGGGAACGTCGTCTTTCGCCATCTCCGTAATCTGTGTCAACCTTGCTTACCCACCCACCAGCTTTACACGTCTATCGGGCGGTGATGGAGATTGTACTACAATACATTAGCGCCTAGGCATTTCCAGCAGCCTAATTCTCTGACAACAAGCAAATCGGCATCCGCTCAACTCCCACTTTTTCAAATCCCCGACGACACGGCGCCGCATGAGTCTGTCGCATCGCACCAGAGACCAAAGCCAGAAATGGTCAACCCCTCGGGGCGTCTTCGCCTCGGCAGATTTTCTCTCTCTGCAACCGGACTCATCATCTGCGCTTTCTCCGTCCTGTACCTCCTTTCGCTTCGCTACTACCATGGCCTAAGCTATCGGGACCCCACATCCTATTTCTTCGATGCGCATCGTGCCTATGAAAGACAGTACTCTGCAATCAGAGTCAAAGAAGCGGAGACATTTCTTAGTAAGGCCGATGGTATCACTCCTCCAGCAAGGGCACACGGAGAGACTCCTACGATATGCATTGCCATTGTTACAGTACGTCGACGCGGGGATCAATATGTTGGCTTGACAGTGGCGTCTCTTTTGGATGGTCTCAGCCAGTCCGAAAGAAAGAGCATATACCTAGATCTACTTGTTGGGAACAGCAATCCATCAGACCACCCAATATATTCAGAGAAGTGGGTGAAGACGCTTCCCGACCGCATACGAACATACTCGAAAGACGATATCGACTTCGAACAAATCCAAGCGTGGGAAGAAGGTGGATGGTATAGAAATAAGACGATTTATGACTATACATACATGCTGCAGGACTGTTATGACACAGGTGCCGAATATGTTGCGATGATTGAAGACGATACTTTAGCGGTTAAGGGCTGGCTCCCGTCCGCCTTGGAAGCTCTCAGAACAGTGGAGAAGCGAACTGCTGGCCGAGACTGGATCTATCTCCGTCTTTTTTATGTGGATGATCTCCTTGGCTGGAATTCTGAAGAGTGGCCAAGATATTTAGGCTGGTCCTTCGTTATCTGGGCCATGCTCACGGGGATAATGGTCGCCGCCAAGAGAAACTTTAAGACAGAACTCAAGTCTGTGCCGTACAGTATTATCTGGATAATATCTTGTGGTTTCATTCCTGCTGCAATTGCACTCCATTTCATGGCAGGCCGGCAG